TAACCTATTTCAAGTTCATGCAGTTCTACATTTAATATACACCTAATGTGAGAAGTAATAACTATGAATAATAAACAAATGTCTATAGGTTACACATAACTTATGACGTGGTAGGAAGTAAATGATTTAGAAGGATTTATTTTTTAATTTCACAGGCATTTTGAAAGGTGAATTGTATATGCATTCTCTTTTGCAATCCCTATAATATTATATGAAACCACAACTGACCACAACTGTACAGTTATTCAGAGCCATGAGTTGCAAATGTACTCAAAATGTAAGTGTGCTGAATTATAACGTAACAGCTTAGCAATATATTTATTTACAATTTTTCTTTACTTTTCATAGATCACGTGTGATCGCGATAAAGAAACGCGAAGAATAATAGGATTATTAATCTCTGAGTTATTTTCCAGGACCAAATGACATTTGCATATAGGAATAATCGTGAGGGCAATGGCCGTTTTTTGTGGGATGGGGAAGAGGGGTGGTTGAAAAAGACGCTTAGATGGGAAATAAATAAAATAAAAGGAAACCCTTGTGACGGCTGTATCGGTGGCACTAGGGTGGATCAGGACTTAGCGGGCGGAAATATTGTTAAAAAGGTATATGTCCAAATGCACATAATATGCAGAATCTACAGGCAATATAAGTCAAACAAATGGTAATATATCCAGCGAGCCGTTATAATAGAACGTCAGAGCGTGTAGGTCATGGCGTCGACGGGTCGGCGAGGAAACGGTTGCGAAACGGGTAATAATATTATATCCTCGTGTGCTGCGCACTGGAGAGGCATTTCTTTCGGATGAATTTTATGTGTTTTTTCTCTCTACTCCTTCCCTCTCTCATTTCGTTACCTGCCTTTCCCACTCCTACCGCTTTCTATCTCCATCGTCGTCTCGCCTGTTTTGGAGGATACGAATGGGTCCTTAAATTATATTCATCAGATGTTGTGCGGAATTTAAAACAGGCGTCACCGTCAACGTTCGACTTTTTCTATGACGAGGGCGTTACCGGAGATATCGGATAATTATTGCTTGATACCAAATTTTGTTAACATTGTGCAAACATCTACCACAGATTATATGCGGCAACGATAAAAACCCAGAAGTAACGCAGTCATGAAAGTGAATACTTCGAATTTAACATACCTATCAATTTTAATTTTTTTAACTTAATCAATCTTTTGTACATAATCGGATACGACATTAAAGATAAAACATTGATGAAAAAAAAAAAAAATTGAGGTAATTGTAAACAACTGCAGTAAGGATAAGGATATTCTGTCGGCATGCGTATTTTTTACGGGATTCGAGCGGGTAACTATAACATAATGCAGAATACTACATGATTGCATGATTATTTATATTTTTTCGCCTCTTTTGACTCAAATCGGCCGAAACTCAACTAAAACAACATTCATAACACGAGTGAAACACATACGATTAACCGTTATAATCGATGAGTAAACAGTATGTGAAATAACAAAAAAAACTCGATTTTTCATCTCGAATCAGCTTAATACCATATTCCGACGTCGAAGCTACATAAAGTATCAACATACATATTATATAAATGGACATTTATATTATTATTGTGTTTACTACGCGTCTTTAAGGTTTGGGAGCGATACATAATTTTTATATATCATAATATCAGTTAAACTTTTTATTTATTTTTATTGGTTCATAAGTCATATGAAAATCAAATTATTGTATACCATAAATCATATTAGCGAAACTTAGGGAGAAATGTAATACATTTAATGGTTATTACAATACGGAACTTACTAAAAGTGTTGATCTCTTGCGATGCTACTGTGAAAATGTAATAACATTTAAAGTAAAATATAGGGTATTGGAAATAAATGAAAACACCTGTACTTGACCATAGTTGACCACTGATGAATTTATCGCAGTTGTACGAATAATATGTTTAAATTTGATTGTTATTATTATGCACTGTCGATAGTTGTGATAGCTGAAGGGTGATAGACTTCGTTCAAGATTTATAAATTAATAATAATTATCAGTGGTTTTTTTTTATTTGAGATTTAATTATTTTACACTGATTTCGGTTGCATATTGGCTACATTCATTTTTAATTTACACTTTGAAACTTCTGAATTTTTTTAGACTATTTGTAGGATAAATCAGGACCTCATATTCGTAGAAACTATTGTAACTTATGCCGCGTTTGACGCATAGTCTATGACAGTGCATACATAAAATGCTGATGAATAGTTTAGTGTTTTAATGATGTACATCATTTGATTGTAAAAGACGGTACAAATATTTTATAATAATGTATACTATTTATATGTACGTGATTTTTAAACTATTTCAAATAAATAAATAACGGTATCTTCGATACCCGCGAGAACAACTCGGGTCGAAGAATAAATACTATTGACAGCGTAACATTCAAAGGACCGATCCAAAGTCCATGTCGTTATATAACAGGGACATATAACCCTTCCCGGGGCTCTTGATCTTAGGTCGTCAATGGATGCGTACCGATCGTAAGATCAACGAAGCAACTCTTTTTGATCGTCTGTGGATGCCCACCGATCATACGATTAACAAGAGAGTTTATACGTGCGATTTATTTTGAATTGTGATTTTAAATTGTTCGACTTGTGTTCTTCGTACGAGTGTTGAAGAATATCCGGTTCCTATGCAATTAAATTCTGCATTTGTCCTTGTCTTTAACCTTGCATCGATATCTGAAGGTCTACGTTAAAACAAGTAAGTTCTGCTTTATTTAGCTTGGCAGACTATAATTGCGCTGATCAGCTCTTGAACCTTCACAACCCTGAGAGCCCTCTCATAAACAAGGAGGAAAGTAACAACCCTTTAATACATTCATATCTCATCACAATTTACATATATACCACCTTTCCCCTTTATTTTATTTTTGTATTTTTGGGTTATTACAAAGTAAATCTTTAAGAGTTATGTGTTTTAATGAAAATAACTTGGTGGTGTAAAAAATTGACCGTTTAGAAAAATATAATACTACATCGAAAACTTGCTATAATGCCCTTCCATATACAGAACTCTATATCTGTAATAGTTTTTTTTTGTTAGTATGTAATTTCATTTGATTAATTGATTAGTATTGGTGGAGAACGCTAACCATATATATAATATATATATATATATATATATAAAATCCACAATTTACTTTTGGTAATGATGAGTTGAAAAATTTTTGATGCTACGTCGAAAAAAAAATGAAGGTTTAATGCATGTATTTGGATTTATATAGCTGTAAATAATCACAGTTAATTTTCAATGACATTTGCTTTGATGAACGTTGATTGTTTGTTTCTGTTTTTTTTTTCACGTTATAACTTTATATATTAGTGTATTTATCGACATTTCACATATACGTATTTAATACCGTTTATACATTTAAAATTAAAAATATTAAATTTAGTTAAAAAAAATGGTGAGATTAGATTGGGCGAGACTTTACAGTTGGACGAGACACATGAATGGATAAATGGAATTGGTAGTTGGTCTTTTGATCTTTGAACCAATTTAAAATTAAATCGAACATTTTAAGTACCTATAAATAATATAAACTTCATTAAAAATATTTTGAAACTATGAAATATCTTATAAATAATAAATATCTTTTAATGGAAATTCTTTGAAATTATTGAATTCATCAACATTTTATTTAGTCACACTCATAAGAAATTGTTGTGAACTTTCAGTTACATCAACCGATGTCATTTAAAAAGTTGAATTATGCCCACGATGTTGTGAATCTTGACGAGAACAATTTAAGTGACTTTTCAATGATTCAGATGGATCAGATACGCAATATAATCCAAGAAATGTTCTCTTCTGAATAATAAAGACTTGAAGGTTTAATACTTGATAATCGTAATTTCTTAATTGTGGTAACACTTTTTTAAACAATTAAATAAGTTGATTACGATTTTCTACGAAATTTTACAACAATCCTACAATTGCTCTATACTACCGATAGCAATTTTAGATTGCGCAGAGCAATAATTACTAAATTCTTAAGGTCTGGTGCATATTCAAACGCACGACGAACACATGAAGCACAGTTCGCATCCTCTTTCGATCTTGTGCTTAAAATATGACTGTCTGCTGTTCACGTGATACCCTTGTTCTTGATATAAATTGTCGCAAACGTTCATCACGCAATTCTCGAGATACTTGTGCACCATTCTTCTTCTGATCCTTTGAGCTGTGTATTTTGTCGTGATTTCATTGACGTTCTTTTTCAACACGTTTGAATTGTACCTCTTTGATACTCATATTGGGGAGGTTGGATTTTTTGGTGGCATTTAAATAAAATAGAAGTTATAAAATAAAAAGCAAGAAAATAATATTTATCCATTTTTAAACATTTTTGGTTGTATAGTTGTTACCGATAAACAACATTTTTATTTTATTTCTTGAATTCAGCATTTTCATTTTCTTTCTGTTGTTTTCCATATGTTGTATATTGATACATTAATATAATAAATATAATAGAAAACTTAACATTATATTTTGTAACAAAATAATTTTTCTATGACACACTCACAGTTGAGAATATTAGGTTTTTCACTCAACTATATAAATGTATTATAATTAAATATTTTACTCCAATTTACTCCATTTTAAAATGTAACATTTTAAAAATAGTATGATATCCAAAAATGTATTTTGACTACAAAAAGGTATTTATAAATTTTACGATAGTGTTATGTTTAATATTTTCTGAAATTAAAATGTTCAAACAGTTAACGTATATTCATTTTAAATGTATATAAATATATTATACGAATATTTTCACTTTTCAATGGTTAAATAATGCATTTTAGTAAATATAGCTCATAGATCAGGAAGTAATAATTGCACTGTATTTTTCCTACAGTCTATTTTAAATCAAATCATACAATACAAAAAAAAATACAGTTTATTCAATAGCAATATATTTTTTATTACTATAAGTACGTTTTATAAACTTACTTTACGAGTCCACGTGATTGTTGGTGGAGGGTTTCCTGTTGAGTTACATTGAAGAATCACGTCTGATCCTTTCTTTGCGCTAACTTTCCCGTTTGATGTTATTCCAACAATTCTTGGTGGAACTATATAAAAGAATCAAACATTGATCACTTTGGAAATTAATGGCCAAAAAAATGAATAATAATAGTTTATCAGGGGTTATATTTTGATTTAAAATAAATTTACTCAAATATTGATGCTACCTAGTTTTATAGAAAGTATATTGGTTCAGCGCATAATCTATTTTTATAAAAGCCAATTACCACTCACTTATTTATCGCTATTTTTCAAAAACTATAAACGTACGAACTTGAAATATGGATTAGTGGTTAATTTAATATTTTAGAATAAGAATGAATTTTTCGAAAATTACATTTTAAGGGTCAAAATAGTTTTGGACTGGATGCATATACTTTTTAAATTATTGGTTATTTATGAAAATATTTGATTTTGTTTAATATGTTGATATTAATAATAACCGATTAAGATATATAAAAATCACCATACAGTATAGATCAATAAAATCTAATAAAATTAGAATATACAAATATTTTGTGATTTTTTCAACCTTGTATTTTTAGGTTAGGGATTTGTGTAATTTTTCTAATCTTAAAAAAAATATCTCCCGGACAAGGCTTCATAATTCAGCTATTAGCATATATTAATGCAAAATAATTCTGTAAACCTCAACATTTCTAACAACTAACAGCTATCGCATATTATTTGTATATTATTAAAAATAATTTTAAACTTTAAAATGATACCATTCAATAAAATTATAATATAATTTTAAAGTATATAGGTATGCATATTTAGTTAACATTTTATAATGTTTGATCTTAAATAAATAAAAAAAAAAAATAATAGTTAATGAATTTTGAATGAAAGTTCTATTTGAAAGCTTTGGTTTATTTGCCTAATTGAATATTTATACCACATAATATTACTGAGAAAAATTCGTGTTTAGTGGTTTTTATCTCCAAAACAGAAACTTGTTATAGTTAATGATATTGGATTGATGTATTATCTAATTTAGTTCTATTATCATCATATTAAATATTTTTTTAATAGTAAAAAAATTATATAAACATAAATATTCGAATTGTTCAGCATTAAAAATACATGTAATGCAATATAATTATAATATGTTTGATCAATAGTTTTAGAAATATTAATTTTTTTCTAATAAAACTAATGTAAATATTATTTACATACACAGACAACGCATTTTAAAATGATTCCGAGAATGAAAAAGAAACCGAATGATTTTGAACGAGTAGAAATTAATTATTTAAATATAAAGGTACATCATGTAATTAATTATTATTAGCTTAAAATCGTACATTTTTTTTCTTTGAGCAATTCAATACGAGTCTTTATAATAATTCAAGAAAGTTCGTGCACAACTTTATTATTATAGGCGATAATTTATGTTTTACGCAGGCATAGTGTTTAATACTTGGTATAATTAATTAAATTTTCTTTATTTCTAGAGGAAATATTGATTTCAAGAATTAACTACGTTTATATATTTTACAGTCCAACTATTCAATGCATCCAGTACTCTTATGTTAATAACAAGTAAAGAAGATGTATACATCTACTTTACGGGTGTAATGAAAAACTACTTTCGTTTGTTTAGTGACCTTTTTAAAGTGTGTTATATATTTTTTATTTATTTATTTATTTTTTTTTGCTTGTATTTACAATTCTCATATGTATTCACAAGAATCTATCTAGGGATTGAAAAAGTTTTTATAACGTTATGACTGCAACATTATATATGTCAAATAACGAAAAACAGTAAACGCTAATTTTAAAATATCACTAAGCAATACGGAAGGTATTGATATATTGATATTAATGTTGTGGTAAAACATAACATGAAACAAAACGATAAACGAAAAATGAAAAATATATAAAACAATATATATCGTACAAAAAATGTGATATTAAAACGAAACGTTAGTGAGAATGTTTTATAAATTTTTAAATAGTACGTTAACAGTTTTCAAAAAATGGGTATCAAAATAAGGATTATATTTACACTATTAATTATAGATCGTTATCAAAATTGGTTTTAAGTAAGAACTCGTTTATAATTCCCTTGTGAAGGATTGAACTAACAATGATCAACATAAAAATAATACAATGGAATAAGACAATAATATAAAATAATATAAATAATATAAAATAATAATTTAAATCTTATAATACTATAATTTATAATAGTTCTTATAAAATTATTTTTTGTTTGGTGAGTCAAATGTGTGAGAAGTTAAGTAAATCAAAGAACTCAATGAACTGTGTGAAATTATTTATCGTTTTTTACGAGATAAAACTCGTCTATCAAATAACTTATAGCAAGTTTCATTTAGTCTACATGTGTGTAAAATAATTATTTTTTTTTGAGTCTTAAGTTGAGTTGAAAACATTGATATGAAATAACTAGCAGAGTCATCCAGTGCACATGTATATAATTTTTAAATATTAAATGTTAAATATTCTGCAAATGAAGTAAAAATTTTTTTAATGGAACAAGTTATTTTATGTATTACTGTTTTACATTTGCAACACACAACCACTTCATGGCTATAAAAGACCCTTCCATATGCGAATCATGTAGTATAGAATTCACTGTTTAACACTTATTCACTGATTGTTTCAAGTACGTAATTTCAAGAGCCAAACACCACATACTACATCAATTAAGTAGAGCTCTACAACCCGATCTCCAATCAAATTTCAATATAATCAACTTGTTAAAGGAAATCAAATTCAACAACCAAATTTAAGTCTTAATTAAAATGTTAAACTTAAAAAAAAAAAAAAATAATATAATTCAATAACTAATGGCCTAGTAGCCAACGTTTTTATGTTCAATAAAAAAAAAAAAATAAATATATTTTTTGATATAAACCTTAATTGTGTTATTAATATTTATGAGTATAACAATTGATTTGGAATAATTTTGTTTTATATGAGAATTTTAAATTTGAAAAATGAATGAAAATATGTTAAACATTATGTAAATATGATGTTTATTAGAAATAATTTTTCAAATACTGAAATTTATCATTGTTTTCAAATATATATAATAAAGAAACAACATAGACTCGTTCCATGGTGTAATCAAACATCCGATCCTTCTATCCTGGTTGTTTATTTTCAATTAATTTTTTTATTTCCAATTTGTGATATATTTTTTAATTCTCATTAAATCACAAATAATTACATATTACAATAATTCAATTTTAATAAGCTTATATAAATAAATTAAATAAACCCTAATGGAACTTAAAATGCTTTTGATAATTTTTATTAATAACTAGTACAAATATATCGATGTTACTACATGCCATTAACTTCTTGTTTATATTAGAATATTTAACACTATTTCAATTAGATTAATTTTATACGTATGAATGGTGGTATGAATTTAATATACCATGAAAGTAAGACTGAATTTGTTCAGAATGCTCTATACTCAACCATTGTTAAATGATATTTGGATGATCCGAAAAGAGATTGGGTATGTTTGAGTAGACATATTATATGACGGTGAAGTACTGGAAAAGGGTGAGTGGATTATCTTGATCTCAACTATTAATAGTTTCAGAATTAGTTCCAGGATTAGATAATAGCGTTTGAAATTCAGATTTTGAATCCAATTGTATGTTTATTGACAAGTATCATCATTTCTAATTTAATTATATATCTAAGAAGTATTATCATTAATATTTTAGAATACAGTAATGTAGCTTTATGGAGGCCTACTTATGGGATTTTTCGGACTGCCTATTTCAATAGGACTAAAAAACGTTAACACAAAAACGAGGCTGCTAATGAGGAACGAAAATTTTACGGACATTGATTAGTGTCGTTGGAGAAACGTACCTGGTATTTGAGAATTCTATACTCCCCTTGAAGTAGAATATTCGGTAGTTAATCCACCTCTTCACTACTTTCGTTATTGTAAGAACTATCAAGAAACTTGTGAGTATCATGTATGCTTTAGAATACAGGGAAGTTTTTCGATATGAAACTTGGTAGCCTCGTGCGGAAATAAATTATATAGATATGGAGGTGGGAACAACAATAACAAGAAATTCCAAAAACCCATAACTGTCAATAGTTGTTATAGTCAACAGTAGTGTCGGCACGGTGGAAATGGTGGGTGATAAAGGGGCTAAAAGTAGAGGAATAGTATGATGCTGGCAAAGCCAAGAGGTGGATGGAGAGTGTAAAAGGTTAAAGGGATAATATGAATAGGTTCACACCATTATATTTTGTATGTATATAATACCATATATACAATATATTTGTTGCACTTCTATTACTATTCTGTTGTATGTGCGCCCCAGACATAGGATACGAATAAATCAATTATGTACACACGAATGAACCATGTTAGAAGCTATAAAATAAAACAGCAACTGGCCGTTTTAAATTGATATATTTATGTATATAGTACATAGAGTACGAACATTTTGGGTATGGAATGTTATTGTGAGAAGAAAACTTTCTGTTTAGTATCTATGTACGATCCCGCTTACCTAAAACTTTAAAAATCCTATTGGACGATCTGCAGGAGAAAACAAAATGTTTTCCGCAATAAAGGCAAATATGTTTTACCCCAGAAAAGCGTAGGTACCCGTATTTCGTAATATTTAATAACCTTCTGTACTTTATTTTTCCAGTCTAGGTATGAACCTAAAAATTTAAATTTTTAAAATAACACATTTTTTTGCTACATTAAAACAAAATTAAATTGAAATTTGCTTTAATAAAACTGTCAGTAATCAGAGATTCTTACACTAAAATGTTATTGCTAAAATATTATACCTAAATAAATATTGGATACGGAATAACTTAAAAGACCATAGAACACGAAAATCATGTATTTATTTTTACGAATTTGCATAAACAAAAAATGTAAATAAAAATTGTTAACGGTGATTCGTTCTAAGGTTACAGCGTTTTAAAAATTACGCGTGACGTCATAAGATTCTTTCTTTGACGCACAGTGGCGGCGGCGACGGCCGTGTATTATTATCCGGGAAAAATAGACGCATTATCAGTT